TTTTTTTTTGTAGAGATGAGGGCTCACTATGTTGACCAGGCTGGTCTTGAACTCCTGACCTCAAGTGATGCTCCTGCCTTGGCCTCCCAAAGTGCTGGGATTACAGGTATAAACCACTGTGCCTGGCCTAACCTCTTTAACTGGGAAATAAAGTTGAACAGTAGGAGCCTGGGCTCTGGAATGAAATGGACTGGCTGTACCAATTACTAGCTGCGTGACCTTAAGCAGGTTACTCCTCCTCTCTGCCTCATCAGTAGACAAGGATATAAGCAGTGGCTATCTTAGAGGGTCACTGTGAGGACTAAGTATATGCATAGCACAGTTGCTAGAGCAGGGCCCTACATCAAGCTTGCAAACAATCATCCTCTGGATGTCAAAGGAAGGAAAATATTTTCTATTCATTCACTGCAAATAGAAAGTTGCTTTTTAAAAGTGAACCAACAGCCAGGCACGGTGGCTCATGCCTGTAATCCCAGCACTTTGGGAGGCCAAAGCAGGCGGATCACTTGAGGTTGGAAGTTCAAGACCAGCCTGGCCAACATGGTGAAACCCTGTCTCTACTAAAAATACAAAATTTGCGAGGCCTAGTGGCAGGCACCTGTAATCCCAGCTACTCGAAAGGCTGAGGCAGGAAAATCACTTGAATCGGGAGGCGGAGGATGCAGTGAGCTAAGATCACACCATTGCACTCCAGCGTGGGTGACAAGAGCAAGACTCCATCTCAATAAAAGGAGTGAACAAACCATCATCTTAGACAATCTAAAAGGACTGGTACCTCTCCCTGAGCAAAAAATGCCTTCATTTGCACCAGCTGGCCATTAAGTGCACTCAAGCCTTGTTTAGCCTCACCTTGCACAGCTGTTATGTTAAAATGCTATTTGTTTGTGAGATAACCTCCTTATAAACACACACACATGCATGTTTATGTGAGCATGAGTGTGTGTGTATCTAGACAGCTAGATATAATGGATAGCTAACCATCTATTGCCATGCTCTGTGAATTTTCCTCCACACTCAGTGGTGAGAGCCAGGGTGGCCAACTGTAGAAATTACTCTTGCCCAGTGCATGCTCCTCCAGGATACCCCAAGTCTAGTGTGGTCCTGTTTAGTATGTGGTAGTTTTGTTCTCTGCCATTTATTGGAGTTATAGACCATGCTGGCTGTCAAAAATTATATAAATAAAGGTACTTAACCCCACCACAAAGAAACAAAGAGTAACATGTTGGATATTAAAATGCAAGTTACCACAAGCGGAATATTTTCATCAGAGTGGTGAGGTAACCATCTATAAGCAATTAACACCTCCTGGAAGTCCTCTGATATTTTTTGGGGGAAAAGGGGAATCATAACATTACTGTAACTCAGAAAGCTCATCCACAGTCTGTAGACTGGGGACTGGAAGAAATGATGACCAGAAGACAGAAGTTACTGCATTTGGCTTGAAAAGCCTGGAAGGGCAACTGCCAATGGCAATGCCAGGACCATGTCCCCACAGAGACAATGCTGTTAGTCATCACTCCCACTCCAGGAGAGCAAACCGCAGCTACAAGGAAGAGGAATGTGTTCCTCTCCTGCCCCCAGCTTGAAGCTTCCTACCATGCATTTTTAAGCAAATTCTTAAGTTACAAAAAAGAAATGACTCATTCTTTCTGCCTCACATTATTAAAAGTTGTGCAAATCATTTAGTCAATATGCATATGTATGGAAACATGCATGTCTGTTCTTTACATAGACCCTGTTTTTCACTCAAAATTAATTCAAATTCACTCAAAATTAATGTGTTATAGCTGGGTGTAAAACTCTTAGGGTAGAAATATATTCTTACTAAAGGGGATGACCGGAAATCAGAAAAGAATAGATTTACATTGTCATTACAGCTAACGTAATTTGTAGGGGGTCTGACAAACCAAACTTTCTCATCACTCAAAAACAAGCTTAGAAACGGAAATATTAGACTTTTTCTATGTGCTTAATGTAATGCTGGTTTGCCTGCATCCCTCCTAATATTATATGCTCGAAAAGACTCCAAAAATCAAATTCTGCACTCAGCCACATGGCTAAAATACTGCAGGATGGAAGCCCAGAATTCATTTTAACATGTATTATTCCCTAGACTGTGACAGAATTCAGGTTTCACTTGGCCTTCTCCAGGCTCCCAAAACCAAGAATCTAGTGGGTTGTTAACATATTCATAAGTAAATAAATGCTCAGGCCTTTGGCAGGCTGCCAGGACATGGTGCCAGGAAGGGATCCATGCAACCACGGTGAAGCTGTGGGGGTCTTTCACCTCCCTCACTCTGGGGGACTGGACTACTACAGATGCCACACCTGGCTTTCTAAGCATCTTTATCTGTATGTTTATGGAATCCTGTAGGCAAGATGCCTACCAGTAAGAGTCTTAAAATGCAGCCAGAATACTGAACTGAGGTAGTGCTCTTTATGCCAGCACAACCACTCCAGGCTAGATGTTTGCAAAATGAAATTGACTGTAAGTCTGCAGAGCAATCCTTTCCAAAAGCACAGGAATCACCTGAGCATCTTATTGAAATGTAGATGGAAGGATCGCTTGAGCCCAGGGCTTCGAGGCTACAGTGAGCTATAATCATGCCACTGCACCCCAGCCTAGGTGAGACTCCATCTCCAAAAATAAATAAATAAATGCAGATTATGATCTGGCAGTCTAGAGATGGGCCGACACTGCTGGTCTGAGGACCCTACTTTGAAGGGCAATGCTGTAAAGTGAGACCATTCCATATACAATGAAATAAACATGGTTTGGAGGCATCCCACATTCCAGACACTGTGCCTTCTGCTGGAGGCACACAGATAAGAACCCTGACTTCAAGGAACTTGTCCTGTAATAGGTGAAACAGCTTATAATGCACTGGGTAAATTCTGCACTTGTTGAGATTCTTTGCATTTTAAGGAAGAAAATATCCCATCTAAAGTGGCTCAAATAAAAAGGAAATGTAACTGGCTCCTCTAATTGCAAACCAGGGGTAAGGCTGAGTTCAGGCTCATTTTAGCAGGGTTAGAATGACTTCACCAGAGCCTAGCTGCCCTTTGTCCACCAGTAGGTGGTTTCTCTCTCCATATCTTTTGGCTGTTTCTTACAATTCGACCCTCTTCTAGAGGCAACATGGATACCAGTCCTTAAGTATTCTCTTTAAATAAGAATGCCTGCCTATCCCCAAAATCTAAGCAAAAATCTCAAGGTATCTTATTGGCTCTAATTGGGACATGTGTTCAGTCCTTAGCCGATCACTTTGGTCTTGGGAAAGTCAGCATGGCAAACACTAGAGTTGTGTGTGGAGTTAGCTCCAACAGAACCACATGCACCAAAGAAGCAGGAGACATTGATTCCCAAAAGAAAATCAGGGCTTGGATGCTGGACAGCTAGAATCCCACAGTCAGCATTAAGAGGTGTTTTAGAAGCATGAGCAGGGGACAATGAGGGCATGGAGAAAGACACGGGTACCTGATAAACACTATCTCTGTATGTGTGCGTGCACGCGTGTGTGCGGTGTGCGTGTGTGTGTGTGTGTGTGTGTGTCTCCCCAGATACAGGGCAAAGTGGCAAAGTGCACACAGTGCCAGTCTGGAAAGGACTGCTGATTGGTTTCTTGGGGGCTTTTAAAACAACTCTCCTCCACCCTTACCTCCGCTTTGGTGTAAATCAGTCACTTCAGAAATAGTTCATTCACTACTTCCTGTGCAGGAGATAAGAAGTGAAACGTGTGGTTTAATTGCTCCCAAGGAGATTAAATTGGCATATAGACCAGACCGACACACATCAAATAATTTGAGGCCAATACAAAAGACTGTGCAGCTGAGTGCTAATTTGTGCTCAGAGAAAGGAGATGTTGGTGTGGGCTAGAATAGAAGCTTCCACAAGCATTGAACAAACAGATGCAATAATGAGCTGGTTTATGCATTGCGACAAGAAAAGACCAAACAAGTTGTAGGGCAGGACAGTGCCATCTTCAAAACCAAGGACAACTGCAAGATTTGAGTGCTCAGATCAGTGATTTCCTCTCCACCGCGACCCTTACTACCATTACTCATGACTTTAGGAACCCATTTGACATCCTGGACTTTCAGCTTCTTATCACCTTCATGCTCTGATTCAACACAGCTACTCTTGTTCTTGATCAGTGACAACCTCACCACTCGGGAAACGTAGGTTTCAAGAATTCTTACCCACTAAATTTCTGCATTCTATCATACCAGAACCATTTACGATATTTCAACTAACTGATTTCATAGGGAGTTCTAGTCCAATATTTCCCCTACTTTTTCCCCATCCATAACTCATTATCCAACTATCCATCTCCTCCACACCTGAACAAAAGCAGCAGAATGTAGCTAGAAAAAAAAAATCATGCAACCTTTAAATTCATTATAGCCGCAAATTTTCAAAATAGCAATGATGGTTCTGATGACAACCTTGGTGATATCATTTATTAATATTTATTAAGTATCATTATGCAGCAGCCTTATTGTCAGTTCTGAGTCAGTCTGTAATTTTCTTTGGCTTAATTTAGCTCAGTATTTCTCAAGGGGACCACTATTAACATTTGGAGCAGGACAATTCTTCATTATGTGGGACTGTCCTGAGCACGGCAGAACATTCAGCATTATTGCTTCCAGCCCACTAAATGCCAGTCCCATTCCCTAATCACAGAAAAAAAAAAATTCCAAAGGCCATCTCCCAATCTTCCCCCAAACCAGATTGCAGGGACAGTCCCACACCCAGCTGAGACCCACTGGCTGAGTAGAAAGAACACTAAATTGGGCATTGAATCTGATATGCACCAAATTTGTGACCCTGAGCAAGCCACTTAGCTTCTCTGAGTTTCAGTTTCTTCTGTAAAAGATCATAATCCTACTTCTGCCAGTAATCATAAGTTTCAAATGATCTAATAAAATATTAATGAGAATATTTATTATATTCATTAGGACTGTATTTGGCTGTGAGTAACAAAGTTGGCAGTAACAGCTTAAACAAGTAGGTGTTTATTGTTCCCACATCACAGGTATTCTGGAGACCAGTGGTCCACGCTGATGACGTGGCTTCATGAGGTCATCAATATCCCTGCTGCTCTGTCTTTCTGCAAGCAGCTTTTACCCCTGGCTCCCTCTCAGTCACAAGGTATAGGCCCCACTTCCATACTCAATCTGCAGAGTAGCCAGAAAAAAAGAAAGAAAAAGGACAAAGCAGGCAAGAAAAAGCTCTGTCCATATCAGATATAGAAAACTTACCCAGATATCCCCAGCAGACTTCCATTTACATTTCATTGGCTGTCACATGATCATTCCTACCTACAAGGGAAACTGGGAAATATTTTTAGCTGAGCATATTGCCTCCCTGAACAAAATCAAGGTTCTGTGAATAAGAAGGAAGCAGGGAATGGACAGTGGGTGGGAAATCAGCAATATCTGCTGTACTTGGTAAACTGACAAAGCATTATAAAAGTGTAAGGCGGCATGATCATTAAAGCCTGCAAAAAAGCATATCACAAAATACAGTATCTGCATGAATTTCACTACATGAATTCCATCTGGTGTCCCATTTATCTGCATTACTTAAGACTAAGTAAGTGAATGCTCTTATTTATATCCAACAAGCATGGTGGCCCAATTAACCATTGAGGCATATCTCTGCCCCCATTTTAACATAGCAATGCAGAGTGAAAAACCTTATATGTAGTGGACTCTAAAGAAAATAACCCCCAATTAGTCAAGTAGCAGGAGAATAATAATAAAATACATTAATGAATACAGAAGACATTTATTGGTTAAGACCACCTGGCGTTCACTTCCCCCACTTTTTATAATCGCAGCCTGATTTTCTTGTGGAAAATCACTTGCCCACATTGTGTGCAGATTGGTGGGACTATTAGTCAAAGTATCTTGCTCAGGTGCCAAAGCACAAACACCTAACCCAGCCTCAGCTGATCCAACTCTCTCTTCCAGGACTTTGAATTCTAAATGTGTGAAGGACAGCAAATAAAGAGAGGGAAGGAGGAAGGGGAAAGAAATATGGAAGGAAGAAGGAAGGAAGGGACAGAAGGATTGGGGGAGGGAGGGAGGAAACCAGAGAACCCCACCTGGTTCCTCAGCTGTTCTTCAATTCTGTGGGCTCTCCCATCTTTTCCAGTTAATTTCCTGATTTTCTCAATCTAGTTGAGTCCATTGTGCACCAAAAAAACTGAACTGACACTCTCAGACCACCCTATTCAGCTGTCTGCTTTAGTTTCAACCTCATTTCCTACTAAAGCTTGATGAAAATCCCAAAGGGCACTTCTTCTCTGATCCCCAGAGATTCCATAAAGAAATTGATAAATACTGGAATGACCAAAACATGGGCAGGAACCAAGGAAATAAAAAGTCTCAGGGTAGGAGCATGTCAGAGAGCTCCGGACTGGGAATCAGAGGCTGTAATTTCTAGTTTGTGCTCTTTCTCTAACTAGGAATGGGATGCTGAGTACATCCCTCAGCCTGTCTGCACCTCAGTTTCCACACTTGTAAATGACTGAGCTGACACTATCACAACAGCTTTTATGGCATGCCAACATTTCCTAACTTTGCTACATCTCCACCTGCCCACTGAGTCCTGCCTGTGTAGCCTTTAGAATTACAAGCTATATATTAGCCTCCTAGACATCCCCTGCTCCTTAAGCTTTGATGAGGCCACCTTGCCCTGTAAAATTTAAACAAGATTGCCTAGAATCATCATCTCACAGTTGGGGAGAAACTTCCTTTCCTCCCAGACACCTCTTGGGGTAAACCAACACTCCCATGGACCAACTCTACCTCCCGAGTTCCTTTTGGTGAACTTGCATTTGCCTCTCTACCTTTCACCTCCTTGTAGGAACTGGCATGTTTTTGCCCCATGTCATCCCATTTGGCAATGGGGCAAAAACATGCCAGTTCCTAATACCTTGATTGCTTCGACTTTCAAAGCACCACTCACTCAAGGCTAGGTGGGCACCTTTACTGGAGGTTTGGGGCAACCAAGCTGGCTACATGGCAGCACAGTTGAGCAAACAACTCCACCCTGGGCCATGGCTCTCTCTTCTGGAGAGAGCTGCTGTGATCTCCCCTCTTAGGCTCCAGCATCCTGTCTTGTTTGTTCCCTGTTACTCAACCCTTTTCCTCTTCCCCACTCCTTTCAAGCTCTCTTTCCCCCAACCCCCAAATTTCCTGTTTAGGTTCTTTACAGAGCTTCTTTCCACCACTAAAACAGCCTGTTACAGTGTTTTGCTAAACAAAAGTCATTCTAAGAGGAAATTTCGCCAAAGGAACTTAAACTAACAATTACTTTTTTTCTGCAGCACAAAAATACATCTCTAAAGATACCAATAACACCTGTTCCCCGGCTGAAGGCATAATGCTGCAGGCATTCAGCACGTTTCTCGGAAAGCATTGACTGGGACAAAAAGGGTTTGCTATTTTGTTAGAATCCCTTAAATGGAAACAGGGTAGTCTCTGATGTATCAAGCAAAAAGAGAGAGACTTTGCCATGCACTAGCTGTGTGACCTTAGGAAAATTACCCATCTGAACCTTCTATATTCCCTTCTGTAAAATGGGGACCATAATGCTTCCTATTTCATAGAATTGTGATGAGAATCCAACAGAATCACACTTATAAAATGCTTTGCACAGTGACTGGCACATCCTCATTCCTGCTATTTAGGGCATTTGAAACTGAAATGAAAATGGTAATAGAAAGTTATAAAGAGCACAGCACATGAAGAAGTCACTTGGGAAATATGAAAATATAAATGAGAAGTGAAGACTTAACCTAAATAATGTGAACTCAGAATCCACATTTTGGGAGAATACTGGTCTCACCAGCAAGTAGGTCTGGCTAAATAACAGGACTAAAAACTATTGATATGAATGTTATTATCTCAGAAAGAAGATGTGCTTTCATTCCTATTTTCCTTTAGAAAGGAATAATGTAATACCATCCTGCATGTAAAAATTCTGAGCACCAGTAAGAGAAATGAGAGATTTTAATTCCTCCCAGGAGCTAGTTCATTCATAGAAAGACTGGGAGTTTGCCAGAGCAACTGGGACATCTGAAAATGGAAATGTAATATTTAGAACTCTACATTGTTTCTTAATTTTTTTTTCAGTTCCTGAAATGGTTAAAAGATGATCATACTGGCCATGACCTCTGCATGTAAAAAACATATACAGCCTCAGCCTACGTAACAGTAATACATTTTTCGACTCAACTCTTAAAAAATGAGTGGGAGGCCGGGCACAGTGGCTCACACCTGTAATCCCAGCACCTCACACCTGTAATCCCAGCACTTTGGGGGGCCAAGGTGGGCAGATCACAAGGTCAGGAAATCAAGACCATCCTGGCCAACACGGTGAAACCCTGTCTCTACCAAAATACAAACACTTAGCTGGGCATGGTGGCGTGTGCCTGTAGTCCCAGCTACTCGGGAAGCTGAGACAGGGGAATCTCTTGAACCTAGGAGGCAGAAGTTGCAGTGAGCCAAGATCACACCACTGCACTCCAGCCTGTTGACAGAGACTCCATCTCAAAAAATAAATAAATAAATGTGTTGCACTGTAATTCAGTTGTTACCTTTCATTTAGGGGCTTGAATTTGTTTCTCTTTTTCAAATATGAATGTGGAAAGACATTTGAAGCCTTCCATGGGCATTATTTGGTATTCCTTTTTGTCTATACTAATTTGCCTTGCTTTTTCAGCCTCTGTCTGCACTATACATATGAAGTCCAGGACATGGTGGAAATTAGTTGTACTAACTCTAAAGTCTCTCTAAGTATCTATCCCTCAATCCCTTCTGTTTTGGCTTCTGGGGCTACATCTTTTATTTAGCTCCTACTAAAAGTTCTACCTTTCATAGACACTGCTATGGTATTGGGGAGACACACGCACGCACAAATAAGACCTAGTCATTTCTCTCCCGAGATCTAGCCTAGGAGAGGAAATGGGCCTATAAACAAATAATTCCAATCTGTAGCAGCACACACTGACAGATCTCTGCAGGAGGCATCACGGGGAATAGGACAGAAAAGCACTTCTGTGTCTTGGAGCGGGTCTGATGAATAAAAGTTTCAAAAAGATCCAGGGTCTTCAATAATGATATTCACAAAGTGGAGAAGAAATGCGAGGCAGAGAGTGCAGTAGAGAGAGTGGAGAAGTTATGCGGAGGAAACTGGGACATATCAAGCCTATGATTTAAAAAAAGTCTTAGCTGAATATACTTAACACGACAAAGAGGTATATCGGTTTGCTCAGCACATCTTGTACATTCACTCCTTGAGCTTATTGTGGCTTGATCTTTTGCTTTTCCATGCACAGACTTTCTGTCTCTACTACACACTACGCAAATCAAGGGAGAGCCCTACAAAAGTTACAGAAGGAAGGGAATGGCTGGAGGACAAGGACATCATGTTCTTCCTTCTGCAGGACATCTGACCTGTTCTTGTGAGAAGAATCCCAGGAATAGCACATGCTCTCTCAGTCTCCAGCTGGATCAATTCTGAGTGTTCTCAAGCCCAACCAATGACTGAGGGGGCATTGTCAATCTCTTGCTGCAGTCATCAAAGATTATTTGTCATGTGTACACTGACCTCTTTGGAATTTCATCAGGCAAAGTGCACTTGCTTGTCTTTGCTTTCATTATAGTTACACACAATAACTCACACCTTTGCACTCATTTTCCAAAAATTTGTAGGACACCATTATTTGCTGTCTCCTATACCTAGGCATTTCATCCTCTGCATCTGGAAACAAGGCCAGCTTCAGGGACATACAACCTGCACAGTTACACAGGACCCCACACTCAGAAGGACCCCACACTTGGTTTCATCCTCTGCGGCTGCCATCTTGAAAGGCTTAACAGTTTTTTCAACAAGGGCACTGCATTTTCATTTTGCACTGAGCCCTGCAAATTATGTAGTTGATCCTGTCTAGAAGACTGCTTCAAGGTGAATTTCTATCAAGCCCTGTTTTTACACCCGGGATGGGAGCCATTACAAACTGGTTCTGAGTATAGCTTTTAGTCCCAGTGATCATTTTCACTGCCATTCACTTGGCAGGGTGACTATTACAAACCTAAAAGTTCAAGAAGCTCAAAAATACTTCTGACATTTGATTACAGATAACTGCTGTGACCGAAAGTTAGGG